TTTCATGTGGTTTTTTTTTGTTGCTAAATTAGTTTAAAAAATGTAGAAACAGACTATTTCAAATGTTGTTTTACCCTGTTTCATCACAAATACGGAAAGCTCCAAACACCTGTAACACCGCTCCATCCCGGGCTTCACCTTGGATGTGCGATTAACGGGTTATTTAACGAGTCAGATGTGATAGAAAAGTGAAATGCCAAATGCGTAGCGTCAAGCTGTGTATCATACATTGCAGGAAATGCCTGTCATCTGGTTGTTGTTCATAACCGGAAAAACAGAAAACGGATATTTATATGTCTATTTATATGTCTATCTGTTGTTGGCTATTTCTATCCTTCATCTGTTTCTTTACCAATATTACAATATAAAGGTGAACGTGTCATAACATGGTGTTCATTCCAATTTCAGTTTTTGATTTTAAATTTTATTTGCAAAAATTTCTACAAACATGTTTTCACTTTGTGGGTTCTGGATTCTTGAGTGTACGCTGATGCAACAGGAGAAAAGGGAATGTGTACAAGGCCACTTGTCTGCAATGTTGACGTTGAAGCACATCTGGCGCAGCACTCCAGCAGCGGGGGTCACAAAACTAAAAACAGGTTTCAACAACGTTGGATCCAACTGTTGAAACAACCAGAAGGCCTGAGGCACATGACCTGAGGGGTCTGATAATCACATCTGACAGTCACGGCAGAGATGTGTGCAACAACCACATGTTGCCTCCACAACAACTCTTTTAATGTTGCGCTCTTTTAATGTCTCCTCTGAGATGATGACTCTCTTCTATAAAAGTTTTATTGAATCAGTTTTAATGCTCTGCGTTGTTGCCTGGATGGTAATCAGACTCTGGGCAACAGAAACAGGCTCGGTCGCCTCATCAAAGTGGCAAATGAGATTTCAGGGAGGGGTCAGGCCCTTCTTACAGACCTCTTTATAACAGGCAGGTGGTCTGAAAAGCTACATCCCTTCTGGATGGCGATCCTGTTGTTAGATGGCAGATAGTATTTCATTGTTGTTTAGAGATCGCTTGTTTACACAGACTGTGTACTGTGTCTTTTGCACTTTGACTTTTGACCTTGATGAATGAACTTTTACTCTGGCCATTATCATGCCCTACATTTCTGATGATGTCCATAAGTGCTGGTACTATGTGTATCCTTGCATGTGTGTTCATGTAGAGCCTGGCTCCAAATAAATTTTCCTGTAAGGGACAATAAAGAAACTTTGAACTTTGAGGTTTGAGCACAGATCTGTGGAGCATTGTAGACTGAAAGAACATTTTTAAATTTTATTCTAAAAGTTTCCATAAGTGGAATCAGAGACTGGCGCAAACGCAATCAAGTTTGGACCACGGGAGCTATGCTGTGAATATATGCTTTGTTCGTGTCTTACTTGCATAGTCCCTGTGCTGTTGCACTCTCCACGTACTGTATACACACTGTAGTATCAGCCACAGCTGAATAGCAGCAATGTGCTTTTGCCTGGAGCAGAGAGTGATCTTTTTAAAAGGCAGTGTTGTTGTTCTCTCTCGCTCAAAGATGCGGCTCCATCCCGCAAGCTCAACACATGATAATGGTCCATGATATAACTGAAGGGCAGCATTCAGCACGCTGTTCATCACTCTGGCAATGTTATGGTGATAAGATAAATGAACTGCCCCACTGTGGACTGGGCTGCAGGGGTTTTTTACACAAAGTGTGAGAAAAAAGAGCAAACAAACAGGGGGCAAGTGGTTTCAGTAGCTGAATACAGCTTCATTATAAGTGGCAGAGGCGACTATTGATGTGCAGTATTTATTCTGCATGCCATCACTTGAGGGGTTAAGAGAAAATGATTAAGAGGCAAATGCAAAAATACATCATGAGCTCAGTTTTACCTGCACAACAATGTCGACTCTCTTCTTTGACTCGACTCTCTGTTCTGTATTAAAACGACATGACACAATGAACCCTTCTTGTTTGGCTACGATGTTAACAGACGGTTGCTCTTCTACTGTCGCGTTTGCAGCACTCAGTTGTCTTTGTACGTATTCTTTGAAATGGAACTGTAACCTGTAACTGCAGGAATGTATATTGTGTCAGTCGCATGCGAATGCATCTTGCTTTCCTGTGCGTGTGCAGGCGGAAAAAATAAAATGAGGACCATCATGTAAAAACTTTGCTCCGTAGCACTAATAGTGGTCAATAACTCCACAGGGTACCTTTAATTTTCCTATTGGGGATTCACCTAAAAAGACTATTTCACTCAATGTAAAGGAGCCAGGAGATTTCAGACGTCTTTTTCATGCAATTAGATTTTTGATGTTGTTGTTTTGGATGTAAGAATATGGATATGTAACTTCTGGTTCATTCTTTCGAGCAACCTGAGTTTTACGTTGATATTGCACGAAACCTCTGGACATTATATTTATGTGCTATATCTTGTAGAGGACTGTAATACTTGCGTGAAGGACACTTTTGTACAAATATTTATTGACGGATGTTTTTATTAACTCACCTATTCAATTTATCTTCCACTTCACATGGGATAAGGCGATTGGCTGCTGACTCAGCCACTCCTATTTAAGGTGGCTCCTTTTTGTTGGAGAATCATTTGCCTGATGAAGGTCCAGGACTGAAACATTGCAATAATTGCCCCTTTGGATCCACTAATTCTGTTCCTGCGCACCTGCCCCGCAAAATTTTCTCCTGCATTTTATATTTGTCTGTAGATTTTAAGATACCAAGATATTCATTCAACTAAATACAGCACTGACAGTTTGGAAAACAGGCGACTGCTACTCATGTTTGGTGCCACAGTCCTTTTTCTGCAGTGGTGCTCCATGCAAAACCACATGATATATGACCACAACAAGGAACAGCATCATGCATCATTTCTAGCTCCAGTCTTATTTATTTAGCAGCACGAGTCCAGCTCGTGCTCATGTATTAGTCTAAGTGCATTTGCTAATGTGTGTCAGCTAATCTCTCTTCCAGGTCGCAGAGAGAGGCCAGTAAGTGGCCTAATGTGTGGGACATAAACGGGCTGACACATGTAGGGGATCGGAGGAGGGTGAGGGGCGTGTGTGTGTGTGTGTGTGTGTGTGTGTGTGTGTGTGTGTGTGTGTGTGTGTGTGTGTGTGGAGGTTTTTCTCCCCTCCTCATGTTCCTCAGTTCTAAATGCAAGCAGACTGCTGTTTGTGTGTCTGAGGATGTGAGATCCTTCAGAATCACTCAAGTGTCCTCAGACACAGTGAAGAATGTCTTCGAGGGCTTTAAGGCATTTGCATAACGGTTAATGTACCTGAAGTACGACAGATGAAAGAAAATAAGAATAATCACCAAGTTCACTGTTGTCACAGCAACCACCATCACAGCAATAAAATGATCAATGATAAGAAAGCGCCTTCAATCAGACTATTTCTTCACAAGCCAGTGAGTATGTGATATTCTGTTCAGGATGATTCAGTCATATTTCTGAAAATGGTGATTCTGGGAAGATTTTCTTTCACTTTTAACATAATTTGTTTTCTTTCCATTTCAAGCTGTTGCAGACTGAAACTGGGCCACTGTGTATTAAGACTCCTGCAGCCCAGAACCTTTTCTTTTGACTAAATCCTGGTTCACCCCAGACTGGTAAACATGTTGCTGTTTTGCTGTGTAATACAGTGACTCAACGCACTGCAGCTTAACAACACACATGCAAAGACACAAACGCGCTGCAAATTCATGCAACACAACAGAAGTGGGAAGGTTGTGTACAGTAGGTTTATCACAGAAACCCGTTACAAACAGTGAAATTGTGGGTCAGAAAACCAAAAGACTCGACACTAAAAGCTCCGTAGAACTGACTGGAACTGCAGAATCACTGATAATTCTCTGAGTTATCATCACACACTTCACAAACCAGCAGTCATGTGATCCAAGGTTAAAACGAGAAACATTGCTTCAAGCTGCTTTAAGTCAGCATGGATGAGAAGTCCTGAAGAGATCTCCTCCGTGGCGCAATACGGTTGAAAGCTCCAGAACAAGCGAGTAAGTGGACCTTGAAATGACAGCGTTTAATTTAGCTGGAAATGCATTCAAAATGATATTAAGGCTTTAAAGGACAATTGACATGGTTGAATTTTCATCATTAAGCACTGTAGAAATCTGCCCTGTCCCCACACACACACACACACACACACACACACACACACACACACACACACACACACACACACACACACCACAGACCTATATTCAGAGATTGTATTTATTTTACTGTAGATTCTTAAGGCAGCAACACAAAGGGACAAAGGAATGAAGAGTGAAGACAGCAGACAGGTGGAGGCAGAGGATGCTTCTGTATCTCCAAAGACTCGAACAACAAGCAGGTCGGAGAAAAATGGAGGTAACTGGAGGGAAACAGGTGAGGGTGAGTGAGAGAGAGCGAGAGAGAGAGAGAGAGATGCAGAGAGAATAGGGCTGGGACAAAGGAGGTACTGGGGCTGACAGTGAATCAAATTCAAAGCGGAGAGAAAATGGGGCAAAATTGGTCACAACCAAAAGGACTATAAAGAGAGAGAGAGAGAGAGAGAGTATAATTAGGAATGGAGTCCACGTAGCTCAGTGTGAGGAAGAATGGGGGGCTAATAGCTTTTATCGGCGGATGGGCTCGTCAACCCTGGAGCGCTCGCCTAGCAACGACGCACCCTGGGCTCCCAGCGATGTGGTCATACAGTTGTCATAGAGATGAGGCACACACGTAAAAGTTTTTACCTCCCCACCTCTTTGGGAGAGGAAAATGATTTTTCGACTTGGAAGCGGTATTTTCCATTCGCAGGTCACAGCTTGTTATCGATGCTGCTTTTTCTGCATGTCTTCACTTTACGTGTGAACAGCTGTTCGAGTAACGGTTCCTGACGTACCAGGTAAAAATAACTCGTCGTTATGATTCATCAGAGCCAATCTCAGACCTCTGTGGAGACTTTCTGAATTTGAATTACACCGTCTCTGACCAAAAATACACTCAATACTTACATGAGTGCCAGGCCGAGGTAGTTGGCAGTGCTGCCCCAGTACATCGGGTTCTCTGTGATGTTGAAGGGAAAACCCGACACCTTCTCATCCATCAGGATGCCAAAGTAATCACCTGGAAAAACACACACACACACACACAGACACACACAGCGGGTTAACGCTGGACCGGGTTCAGATGAGAGAATCTTGGCTGTTTGTTTGATACAAACACATTTCATAACTAAAATCTGTCCAACGTCTGTACGCGCTTTTTCCTGCTCAGTGTCACATGAGGCTGGAGAGTATCCCAGCATGCACTTGGCGAGAAGCAGGGGAACATAGCTCCATATATGCCGCCAGGTTAGCAACCAGTTCAGGTGGGATTGGTGGACCGTTTCACACTGTTGCCATGGTTTTCCCCATTGTCATCGACCATGATGCCAAGTTTTAAACTCAGACCAGACAGATTTCAGTCCGCTTGACATTCTACAATCACTTTTGACACGTTTCTGACAAAACAGCGGGAGACACTGAAGTCAGACTGGTGATGCGCTGTGAGGGAACACGACCTTGGCACCGCACGGCCTTGTTAATGCTGCACTGTCTGGCTGCTCCACCATCACCAGGCTGTTACTGATGTCAACTGCATGACCTCATGTGAAAACTCTGGAGTGCAGGTTTGATTATTGTAGCAAGAAATGAGCGAGGAAATATCGATTCTTCTCACTTTTATAATACGTTATAATGGTGTTTTTGTATGTTCTTTCATTTTTTCAAAAAGAGGATAACAGTTTGTGGACGCAGTTTTTGACGCAGTGCCAACGGTTGAAGCCCGTGGATGGGTGTTTCCCGCGGCCGGGGCTGACAAACATTTCGAGAACAAGTGTGGTGTGTTGCCAAGAGACCCGCTGTCCCCTTCAGTGGTGTGCTATTACCTGGAAAAAAAAAAAGATCATAACATGAGTGTATTAGGGACAACACGATACAGTGCTGCCATGTGTGGTAACAGACGTTCCCATCCAAACGTAGCACAAATTCTGGCCAAATTTCAAGGCACTCAACAAAGAAAGGTGTTATTAGGATTGGTTAGTTGACATGAACAGCCCGTGGTGGTATTTTCCAGTTGGGGGGGGGGGGGGGTTAAACCATTGCAGAAGAAGAAGCATTAGGATGAGGTCATTAAAACAGCGCCAGTAAAACCTCAAACTGCTGTCCCCCAGCTTAGCTGTGTGTTTGGCCAAAAGATCGTCAGCTGGTAAAACTATATGGGGGAGTTCTCGCTGCCAATTTGTTCTTTTTGAAAGTTATAATTTTTCACCAAATAAATACACAAGTCAAAACAAACATTTCTTAGCAAAACATTCATTTTAAGTTTGACAAAATTTAATCTGAACATATTTCTTTGATACCACAAGTTGAACAAGCATCAGATGTCAAACGAGTGTGTGTGTGTGTTTTCCTGTGCAGTGTCCACGGAGGTCTTTGGCCTATAACCGAGTTGGGTGCGGCTGAACTAGGACACTTGCTTACTGTAACCTGAGCACTTACCACGGCTCGCTGTGTAATAAGTTCCCCCAGATATTGTGCGCGCACAAACGCATAGACACACAAACGCAGGCATAATGTGACCCATTTTACTTATAAGAGGACATGAACATTCAAATACTTCCCTTGTACCTCCGTCGTCCGTCCGTCCACCCACACACACACACACACACACACACACACACACACACACACACACACACAAACACACAGGCTTCCAGTAGGTAAAATCCACCTGCTGAGTTACACATGTGGTGCTGCTGGCCCTGTTTTCTGTCGAAGAGAAGCCGTTAATGTCCAGGTTATATAGCGATTTTCATTATGTGTGCTCATTTAAACGCCACAATAAAAAAAAAAAAAGAAAAGATTATATAAACAAATGTGTTTGGTTTTTTTTGAATAGAGAACCAGCTGCCCTGCAGAACAATACACTAACCCCATTTTTTTTCCCCCCAAAGTGACCGTTTACCCATTCAGACTTGAAAGCCAAGCAGAACATTTTATTCCCCCCCCCCCGTGTCACTGTTGTTTCATTGTGGTTATGAAAACAGTAGTAGCGTGGCATCCTACAAGTCAGAGAAGCGGGTCTGTGATTAGCAGGTTGTGATCGGTGTTCGGCCGCCACATTCAGACTACGGGTAATTTGATTGTGTTGATCTTTGTTTCCGCCCCTGTGCCATCAATTTGAAATCACCAGGTCACGGTGACTCAAGGAGATATATATAGAACAAATAAGACACATCAACCCCCCCCCTCCACCACACACCGGCACACACCAGCACTCCAACCCGGAGTTAGCTGAACGAAATAAGTAATAAGCGACATATTGGAGATGACTAATGAGAAAAGCAAAGGTTATGCAGTGTGGTTTTAGGGAGCTACAGTATATCAGAGGAATATGGGGAATTATCTCATCCCTCAGCTGAGGTATTTACCATTTTTTATTCAATCCCTGACCTTTTTGTTGAGCTGATATCATTATATAACTGCCGTTTCCTCCCCTGTAGCACTTAGAGGAGTATAATGCGTCAGTGCCGTTAAAACATACATTTACTGGAGGTTCAATCCAACATTTTAGCCGAATAGCAGAGCTTGTAATTAATTTTGCACTTCATTGTTTTCGAGAGGCATGCAGGACGTTTCTGCATCAAATACTAATTAGCGGCAGGACGTGAATTCATTCAGCCACGGCGTCACCATCAGTGATGCCTAATTAAGCCAAACTTGGAGACAAAGTCCTAAAATGCTGCGGATGAAATTGTAAAAACTGATGCTGATGAAGACCATGTGATATGGTTGAATGCTCTGGAAAAAGCTATTAAGTGGTCCTTGCGATGGGAAGGAAAAAAAGTATTTTATCCAAGGTAAAGAATGAACTTTGATGCTGAAAAAAATACTGATAATTTTGCTAGTACTAGTATATAATTATTATAAAAATCAAAGGGTTTATCCCCTTGGAAGCATGAATGTGTCTTGCGGTTGATACTTTAAATGTGCGCCACCTGCAGGCAAAGAGTGGCAACTACAGTGTACTTTTTTTTATTTCTGCTGTTGGTGTCTGTTTGTAGTTGTGTGGTTTAACATTTTTTCCCCTTTTAGCTAAAATAAAACTATAAATAAAACTGGATCGTCCGTCTCACTATACTGTTGTTCATAGTAAACACATTAAAACAGACATAAAAAGCCACAGGTTTAAAATATGACATGTTGCCCTCAAACCAAGACTTAACATTAAGCGTTTTCAGGCCAACATAAGTCGCACATTTAGTTAACTACAAAAACTACAGCTGTATTAATATCTTAATAACAACTCAATGACAGAACAGAACCCACTGCTCATTTTCCTTATAGTTTCTGTTCATTTAGCCTCAGCAGCACAGACACTTGATGTTTCTCATTGGACAAATAAATATCACATCCTATAGGTAGCAGCCGAACTGACCTAGTTAAGCTTGCAAGCGGGTATGAAGTGGGTATAGAGCGATTATTTTGTTCTGGGCATCCAGCTTTTTGAAGCAGTGTGTGTACTAAAGAGAGATTGCATTCTCATAAATAACTGAATGCATATAATTATCTCCGCTGTGCTGTAAAGAAATGTTTCCGTCTGGGGATAATTCATGCATTACTTGGGCTATTCAGGCAGTTTGTCCTCAATTCCATCTCACCGATGTTACGGCAGCACTGTTGCTCTGTGTTCTGACCCCGTGTTGCCATATCACCAAGGAACCTGCCGACTGGCCGATGCCGGCAGAACCTGGTTTCCGGTGCTTCTCATTAGTCACACTGTCGTCCTTGAGCAAAAACTTTACTTATGTTTTGTGCTTTACAGACTTTGGAGAATGAGACATGCCAACAGTCTCTTGTTATTGGTCTGCTCAATCTGCATGTAAAGTAGACTCCTGTTCATTAACATACGCACCGACTCCGGCCAACTCCTGTCACCTTCTGCTGCTCCGGCTGCCTCCCCACTCTGTTGTCACATGTGCTGGACTGAGGGCACTTCAATACAGTGATGAACAAAGATGATGCAGGAGCTGAGACACAGTCTGGATCTCGTAGATGACTCACTGAAGTGACTGACCCAGAAACAAGATACCAGCACTCGCCCAAATCATCACAATGGCGATTATCATACTTGTGGTCATTTGGATCGACGCCTGGAACGGCACAACAACGGAAAAAGAAACATGTTTGTCTCAGAAGCAGATGGGAAGATATTTGAATGTGCCGTCGCCTGCATGGAAATGAGCACGGCTGTGTAAATTGGCGCAAACATGTTCACGTGTCTTTCCTCATGTGAGGATACTTACACGCCCTTGTTAGGAAACAGCACGTGTGCACATGTCCCCCCCCCGAGTCAAAGAAGTCCAATCCAAAGATCTTGTACATTTAGTTCAAAGTAAATATTATAAATAGTGTGGAGAAATATAAATATAGGAATTAATAAAATAAAAAGACAAGGGGCCGTATCTGACACCTGGTGCAAAGTGGTGCAACACAAAACGCAAGTGTCTGTCTGGCACTGTGGCACCTTGACCAAAAGCGCCACCGTCAGCGGGCTAACATGCTCACAATGAACATAACATTTACCCGGTATAACGTTAACATGTTCGCTATCTTATTCTGGAGGCGTTAGCGTGATGACATTCGCCAATTAGCATTATACAACGTACAGCTGAGGCTGATGGGAATGTCACATTTGGCTCATGAAGTATCGGAGGAATTACGTTTCGAACCAGATGATGGATGAAAAGTCAGGGGATCGATGACAGAAGGATTCATCCTCTGGGGACCATGAGTAGCTTCACAAAAAACTGAATGGCAATCAAGCCAATAGTTGTTGTTGTTGCTTTCATTTACTTTACTTGTTCATAAATGTGAAATAAAGAGGAAAATGATTTTGGATTTGGTGTTTGTGTGTGTGTGTGTGTGTGTGTGTGTGTGTGTGTGTGTGGGGTCCTGGAAAGAAGAGTGATTGTAATGTAGGTGCGTACAGTTTACTGAATGATTCAATAAAAATATTCCAGAAAGAAATATTAGTGCTTTCGGGGGAATGAGCATGTTGCACTTTTTGTTTAATTAGTTCCTTCTAGTGTTGATTGGAACTGAAGGTCAGTGGAACATCATGTTGACTGCAGGTTGCTCTGGATAAGATCATCAGCTAAATTTAATATGCTGTAAATACTCTCACAGCATCAAGTGCTATTTATTGAAGACTCTTATTAATGAATGCACACAGATAAATTTGCCAGTGTCGATGTGACGAGTAATTACTTCATTTGCTTGAAAGAACACGTTTTTAAAGGAAGCAATCTCTCTCCATTTATATGGCAGAGTCTGAGTCAGTTGAATCCCAACTCTCATACATTAATAATACACAAACATGAACACATGACTGTGGTATTCGAGAGCATTACAGTGTTTCTGGTCACTTTGTTTTCAATATAACTTGATACTTATACAGTTCAACAATTAGTGGCGATCAACAAAAAACATAAAATTGTTGCTCAAATTATTTCTGAAGTTCCTTGAGTTAATTTTTACAAAATCACCAAATAATCGTTGATCAATCTACTCTTTGAGAATCTGCAAAGACATTAGATAGATATGTCCTGGACACCCACCTAGGAAGGTTCCAGTGAATCCCAGAGCGAGGAAGCTGCTGACCACCAGTAAGGTTCCCAGCACCATGAGAGCTACCCCAGTGTAGAAGACGCCCGTCCCGTCCATCACGTCCCACCTGGCTTGTGCCTTCATTGCCACTGTCACACTGCAGAAAACAAAGACAAAAAAAGAACCGTAAACACCTTCGTATAACCCCAACTGTAACCTGTAGATGCTCCGGACCTCGAGCAATGTTTGATGTACTGCATGGACCCAAGTCACAGACCTTTGCTGTGGATTTAAGTGGTGACATCATCCACACAAGAGGAAAAGCGAGGTTCGCATCACAAGGGCACTCATTCGCTGACTCACTCACTGGGTTCACTTTTTGCAGATCAGAGCTAAAGCAAGTCTGAGACCTTTAACTAGGATTACACTGATAAAAAATAAGCCAAACAGGAAGTGTCTATGCGTCACACTTTTGGTAGCCATCAAAATTTGCCATTGCAAACACAATGAAGCATTTCATTTTCATGTCTTTTGAAAACCAACTGTCTCTCAAACTCTCGCACCATCGCTTCTAATGCATCAACTGCATGTGTGTGTGAATATAAAGCGAGTCCTTGTTAAGAGACAGAGCTTTTAACTTTCCCTGACGTCACTCTCCACCGTGGCCCCAGCTCACAGATGATGTGAAAGCCATGAATTGTGTAAGCGTGGTCATACAGTAGAAGCATTTTCCTTCTGTATCCACTGTGTCATCCTCAGGTCTTTGGATGAAGAGCTTCTGAAAGGTCGAGCGTGTCTGCTTTAAGAGGTGGTTTTTAATATTGCTGGTATGCCTGCAGAGTGCCGACACCAAGGATGAATCAATGCCAAGATGTCAAAATTAATTTAAACTCTACAGCATTTATGGCTTGAGTTCAGATTAGTTTGCAGCTCAGAGCATTAACACTTCCAAGTTCACCTATGGAGAATTAAAAAAAAGCTAAAGTGGTTTTGCTAAAAAAAAAAGAAAGAAAGAAAGAAAGAAGCTAATTAGCCTAGCTTGGAGTAGCAGAACATGGCAAGTGCAGTTCACAATTTTGACCCTAACCCTAAAACTTTTAAAGTCATTTAAAGTGTAAATACCATGTTTTCACATTATACTCCACTGATGTGCAATAAAAGTGCATATTATTATTTTAGACTTATTTCTGAGCATCACTGTTTCTTACAACTGACACCTCAACACCACGACGTCCAGAGGAGATTCTCCCGCTCTACACGGGCTTCCTCTGCTCTGACCAAATTTGGATTTCTGGCTCCAGCGAGCGAGTATTGGCAGTCAGAGATATTCCCACATCCAGTCTTCTAAACACCCTCGTAAATAACAAATCCCTGGCATCTTTCTCATGTTGGCAAACGGTGCACGTATATGACTCAAGGCAACTTTAAACACAGATTTACCAGGAGGATCTGTTTGCTTTTATGTATAAAAGGTGCTAGATAAATAAAGTTATCAAAACGGTTTTATTGTGGGTATGTAAAGGTACCATTGAAAGCATCCCATTAACTTAATAAACAGGCTTAAATGTGGAGTTAATCGTCCAATATGCAAAAGCTTTATGCAAGACTAGAGATACTGTTCGTTGCCTTTGTATGTTTGACCCCTTTTTTACAGTCTTAATGGTTTTGGAAATGGGTTTTGTTAAGGCTGTCATGCCCCCACTGCTTCTAAACTTCACTGCAGGTCAAAAGTGAAGTCTCTGTGGTGCTGAAAGGATTTCCTGGTGCTGCAGACTATAATGGAACACACACAGGTGCTGGCTGGAGGTGGATGCAGCTTTGTGTTTGCCATCATTAACCCACACCTGTGTGTTGCCATCTGAAAAAAAAAAAAAAAAAAGGTTTGGTAGTTAAGAGGAGAGAGAGAGAGAGAGAGAGAGAGAGAGAGAGAGAGAGAGAGAGAGAAAACTGGGTTACGAGGTCTGTGCTTGTGAATCTTATGGCATTCTCCCTTTGTCAAAAGGCAGCAGGAAGTGTAATGTGATGCAGCGTGTCAAACACAAAGAGCGACCGCTGGGCTCTCTGTTATGTAAGGCGGTCCGGCACGGCACACTGCTGGGATTAGGATTGGAAAAAAAAAAAGATGGGAAAAGGGGGTCTCTGGGGGGACGGAGATCTGGGCAGGTGGTCTCAGTGGGTGTGAGCCACTGACCGCTGGATGTACCAGAACAGCTGATGACGGGTCACTGCTGGTGTAGCTTCAGAAATACAGGAAAACTTTCTTTAAGCAACTTGTTGATTGATGCATGCTCATTCTCACCACAGCATTATATTCTATGAACATTAACACAAACAGGGCTGATGGAATCAGACTCTGAGGAATGAAGGACCCACATATTTGTTCTCTTTCTACCCTTCAGGATGTGAAATGTTAAATGTTAAATGGAAAGTTAGAGAGAGCCGAGGAGGGAAGGTTCAGTGTGGGAGTCAGACAAAGTCGCTTTGGCAACGAGCCACTTCACAGCAGAGCTTACAAAAGCAAGAAGTATGAGGAGCGAGGTCGGTGATTTCACGCGTTTCGCTCTGAAATTATGGAATTTCACCTACAATTTCAGGCTTGAAGCTTAAAACTGTCCCCATGTTAAGACAGCTCAAGCGCCTCCACTGCATTAAAGGGTGGTGACGCCTGCGAGAGCTACGTAGCTATCGTTCTATATCCATGCTCTCCTGTCTGCTCCGAAACACTACAGCCAACTCACAGCTACGCGATCCGATCCAGACTACGGTCAATAAACACTCAATAAAGCCCAACGGACCAACATGCGCCTCTGACGTAGCATTAAACAGGAACCACACTGTCACAATACGGTCTAACAAAAGCAGATGGCTGCCGTGTCATTTCTACCACAGAAACTTTAGAAAGTACATAAAACAGAAAGGTTGTATCTCCCGCTCGTGCACAGCTGGAGACACGAGACTTTTAGTTACTTATTCAGTATTCCCACCTGCTTGAAATTAAAGTCAAGACCTTTGGGTGAATGTACTTTACTCAGGGGACTTTTACTAGGGATGCAACTGACAATTTTCATTATTGATTCATCTGCTGAATGTTTTCTTGAATAATCTATGAATTGTTTTGGCCATAAAGTGTCAGAAAATACCCCCCAAAAAAAAATGCTCATCTGAAGCCTGAACGACCTTCAGTGAGCTGCAAAGCAGAGAAGTCTCAGGGAGTCAGGTTTATCAGCGAGGGCCGGGTGCAGCAGCGCTTTTACGCAGTACTACATCACCTGAATCCCCGTGGGTCATTTACATGCTCATGAATATGTAACTGAGTCAAAGTGAGACAAATTCTTCACTTCACACCGACACAAACAACACTAATCTAACTGTAATTCGATGATGTGTGAAACTTAATTTATGCACGGTTGTTCTATTTTAGGCATCAGACCTGTTATTAACCACATAAAATTTCTCTGCTTGTTGACTCATCTGCCCTGAACACGGTGCTATTTACAGTTTTTCTACAAGTGCACACATCGTATGGCGTGGCCTTCAAGATGATGTCTATATTTAGATACATAGATAATTACATTCATTTAAATCTAGTCAGTCATTTTTCTTTTTCTTTTTTTCTTCCCTCCTTTCTCATCTTGTATGATGTTATTTCTGTTTTGACGTTGAGGTTTAAAATAAGCCCTCGATGGGTTTCTTCCCTCGTCTGCACATTCTCTCCTTTAAAAAAACAACAACAATATACAATGTATTTGTAACGTTTCAATGTGTGTGAATAAATAAAATCAAAAACCTCTCGACAGAATTTTATGTGAACGACTGATATCGACTAATATCTCAACAGCAACGACTCCCCTGACCTTTCCTCTACTTCCACCAGCAGCTCAAACGCTTCATTTATCCATTAAACTTCAGCACTTTGTTACTCAAAACTAAATATGTTAGGATTATAAATATATAAATATATATATACACAGCGTCACTGTTGTACGGTGGTTGCATTTTAGAAGAAACAATTTTCCAACCAATCTCAAGGTTTTCATCCGCTGTAGATAAGAGGGAAAAACATGACAGATGAACCGGTAAAATAAAACACTTGCTCAACTCTAGATTAAAAACAGAAGGAAGGAAATCATTAATATTTGATGGGTTGATCATATTTCTGAATATGGGTTTTGGTTCATCCTATTTTTAGCTTTTAATATTCCCCAAGCATAAAACAAAGAGAGAGTGGAAGCGTAACATTTTTATTTTTAATACTAGTAATGAAATAAAAAAAAAATTGTAAATCCCAATCCTCCCAACTCATTGGGCTGCGGCGCCAATTAAACACAATCAGCTAATTAAGAAATTGACTTGTTAAAGCCCCCGGAGCTTTCCCCTACAGGTTTATTATTAAAGGTAATCAGTGGAGAGGATCACTGCTGTGTGCTGAGCAGATAATAATACCCCTGCATCCTCTGCATGTCTGTCAAACAGCCCACAACTCTGTGGTGCATCTATAAAAAGACGCGGCTGTCAGTCAGCTGATCAACAGTGTGTATGTGTAAGTCAATGAGGCAGATATTTCCACAGCTCGACAGTGAAGCAGTGACGTAGTTACTCTGCCGGTCAATTGGTCAACTTGTAGAGAAATGAGTGTTTCCACTGTGGCCTCACAGCAAAGGGGCAATTATGCTGAAGCCATTCATCGCCTGCTTGGTAGCGGGGGTCAGCCGCAGCCAAACCACGAGGGTCTCCTCGTGCAAACACAACATAAATATGTATTTTCATGTGTCGATCTCTCTGTGTTTTTGTATCTTTTAACGGATATCAGCTTTACTGGAGCTGATTTCTGACTGTGTCAAGTTTTAAACCCCTCTGATACGACCCACAGCGTAGCCACGTAGCATTCGTACCTGACCTCGGTTGTTATGGTTACCACGATAAACACGCTATAATGTTACTATGATAACAGTCATGGCTTGGTTAGGTTCAGGCACTAAAACTACCTTGTTAAAATAAGTACTTCCTCAACATTAGAGGATCTTTGTTGTCATAGTTACAATATGTCATGTCATATTCCTGTGTTTTGCTGTTACCCACTCTGTGTTCCGATTTCCAAAATCTTTTAAATTATATCCTCAAATGTGACATAACACTGAATCATGGGACTCGTCTGGATAACGTGACGATACTTTAGGTTTATGTTCAAACCATCAGTTTCAATTATTTCAGCTTCAGCTGTCGGTGCAGCATCGTCGGGTGGGTAAGAAGAAAAACTACATTAACAATGAGCCTCAGCTACTGAACACCAAAGGGTAGTTGTTTAGTTCGTCCAAAACTTATAATAAATGCAGACTGTAAAAAACAGTCCCTCAGCCATTTTCATGTACAGAAGCTTATACCTTCAACTTTTTCTCATGGAATCCACATATTCTTTACTGAAAGTTGTTCAGCTTCTGTACTGATCATTTAACTGGGAGAGTTTCGCGCCCATTGAAGCCGTAGACGTGCACCGACCGCAAGTCATGTAACATCGTCCGTGGGAAAACTGAACTGCCTTATGAGTTATGTTACCATGCAGTATACGTTGTGTAATATTAAAGGTTTGTGAATGCATGTCTTGTGTATGTGAATGTGGATTCCTAAGAGTTAAGATGACGTCTGTGTTTTGCTACTTGCGTCATTTTATGAAACTGTTTTTTAAATTTTTAAACGCCTGCGGGCCTTTTCTTTCCCAACTATACATGGGAGATTTCAAAGCTGTAAACGTCTTTGCTTTGATCAGCAGCCACATTAACCCTGTGGAAGTAATCATTTAGTACTATGGGGAATTCAAGACGTTAAGTAATACTAATTATATTTGATCAGGTTTTCAGAAACGCTTTCACTGGTTACACAGGGTGTTAATTATAATGTACATGTAAGTGTCAGGCAGTGAGGCAAGTCACACCACATTCAGAAAAGCAGCAGCAGCATCTGATTTTTGTTTAACCAGCAGCCAATCAACCTGCCAGTGTTTTCACCCCCGGTGTGGCAGCAAAGCACGAAACACGAGCAACACAGCCATCAACAGCGATCGACATTACACAGCATCCGCAACAACAACAACAGCCCATCTCTGCTGTGTTTATTGCACCATTCGTCTGCCTGTATGACCGCCGACCATCCGTCTGAAAATAACCGTGGTAATCAGACTTACACATGTAACTGCTGCTCTATCCTCTGTTTAACTGTCCCATCACACATCATATGGAATTCACAGATATGAATGTGTGTGTGCAACAAGTGTCAAAAAAAAGAAGAAGACAGAATACAATGATTTACAGGGAACTAAAACGAAATGGCCTCTGTAAATTTTTTAAAAAGCAGCAACAGCGGTTCTGCCTGCACGTAAAAAAAAAGAAAACGGTGGCTTATTTTTAAACTCATACTTACACCAGAGCTAAGTGCACTTTTGTAAGCTCTTCAACACTATTGAAAAGCTGCAGAACCGCTCACGTTATGTGAACATTTATATGAAAAGACTCATGTTATTAGTGAACTGTGTTTAACCTTTTCCATTCTGAGGTGAGGATAACACATGTAAAGGCCATAAATAATGATATTTTTGTCAATGTTATTAAAGAAACACAAATGAATTTTCTTTGAGCTCCTGCACAGGTGTATGAAGCAGGTAGGAGAGATGTCTGTGGAGCTGAATGAAGCCTGTCTAGACAGCGACACTGAATATAGATGAAGTGTCTGTTCTTGAATAGATCATTAAAAAATGTGGCCGAGCTGCAGGTGTTGGTGCAATTTGTAATATGTGTGTAATGCGGCATATGTACAGTCATCACTCCCCACAAGCAGGCACCTCGCTCAGCTCAGCACAGCACAGCACAGCACAGCTCAGCACAGCACAGCTCAGCACATCACCACACCTCACAACTACAAAACTACGAAGACTTCTGTGTGTCAAATCACAGGAGCTCTCCATTAAAGTTCCCATATGAGATTNGCTCAGCACAGCACAGCACAGCACAGCACAGCACAGCACAGCACAGCACAGCACAGCACAGCACAGCACAGCACAGCTCAACACAGCACAGCTCAGCACAGCACCACACCTCACAACTACAAAACTACGAAGACTTCTGTGTGTCAAATCACAGGAGCTCTCCATTAAAGTTCCCATATGAGATTCCCATGTGTTTTCTTGATAATGAAGCAGCTCTAGGTTCCATATTAATACTGTGAGAATTAAGCGCTCAGCTCGCTGCACACGGCCCGCATTCAGAAAGAAACTGAGCCTTAAAAACGAGCCGTCAGGACTTCGGTAACTTTGTGATGTCACAACTATACAGTCACTGCCTTCAGCCATGCCCCCAGGACGGGGAGTGTTCATCTGAAATCTGCTGTATTTTTGATTCAATCTCTACATCGAGATGGTTTTTGATACTATATTCTATTTATAAATATATTCTTCCTATGGAAAAATCAACACTTCAAACAAAACACCAGAAGAGTGTAAAATACGGGACCTTTAATATTGCTGAGAGGTGCAGATATGTGCCTGCATGTATTCTTCAACAAAATGACAAAAACCAAACTACATTTTCCAAGTAATCATCCAAATGTCTTCATTGTTACAGCGCAATAGTGCAAATAGAAGCATTTCAGTGTTATTCCTAAGAGTGACTTTTATATGAACGACTCAGCCATTATTCTCCTCATTCACATCACATCTTCTGTTCCTGGTCCTGAATGAATTGTTATGTACTACCACTATTTTTAGTGTCTCTGGTTGCACTGAGTGTTGATACACACTCTCTTCAGAAGCACAAGCAGAAAACTGGCAAGACGATTTATCGCCTCAAAGCCGCTTCTTCCAAAAGCATTGTTGCCTGGCAACAGATATCACAGACATCCTCTGAGAGAGGGGAAATCAAAAATCTTCTCGCGCTGGCATACTGTATATGTGCGGTTTTATTGTCGATGGTGCTGTGTCACCGTTTTGATCCATAGTGGGAGGTGTGGGGGCGTGCACTTCCACTGGCTGCTGTACCATGGCAGGCGTGGGGGGTGACACTGGCACATAAAGAACCGTAGGCGCAGATAACGATGGGAGGAGGAGGAGAGAAAAGAGCAGCAGGGGAGAGAGAAGAAAAGGAGGACACAGGGATGGAGGAGAGAAGAGGAGGAAGACATGAACAGGAGGGCAAAGGAATGAAAGAACCTGAACAAAATGAGGTCTGACAAAGTCGCTCAGCTGGTGTAGCATTTTAGCATCAACGAGACACTGGAAACAAAATAGCGTAGTTGAATGAGAAGTTACATAAGATAATCCAAAGTGTGGACAGTAGCTGTAACCCTGCATTTTATATTGTGCGTCAGCAGCTTATTGAGGAAATCAGGAAATCTGCTGAATTGCTTTATAGCACCAAACAGGAAGTGGGCGCTGTTACTCCAGAACAAACAAAACGAAAACTTTCCCACTTCCTGGTTATGAAAGAACATTAATCCTCTTCAGGTAAGAAAATACGAGCGAGATGGAGAGTAATGCAAGACGAGCGGTGCAGGCGGAAACAGCGTGGGTTGGAAGTCTGGTCTGGTTTAGTTAAGCCAACACTGCTGTGCTAATGAAAATCCAAAAAGACCTCATACCTCTAATAATAATTCAAATCGAACAAAATGAAGCTGATTTAGTTTGAAAGGAAGAAGAACAGGAGGGAAGGCGGCGAGCGTCACCTGTGGCTGCGGTAGACGTTGAGCAAAACGATGACGAAGCCCAGGCAGTAACACGCCAGGTGAGGGCCACCAAAGAACCTGGAGATCGTCCGCGTACGATGTTCCCATCTCGCGACCTGACAAATGACAGACAGAGAGAGAGAGAGCAGAGGACATGAGATAATGGTGCCCCCCCCCCCCCCCCTCGGGGCTACGCTATTCATCAGCGGTTGAGAAAAATCTGGCACCAAAGTTAAGTTCTGTTTTGACGGGGAGGTAACGCTCTGAAAATATTCGACATGAAGCGAATGTGTGTGTGTATGTATATATATATATATATATATATATTGTTTTATCATAGCAGCTTTAAAGTCTTGTGTGTTTTGTTTCCGTCTATTTTCTTTCTGATTAAAAACTTTACCATTTACAATGAGTAAAGAGCCAGTATATTATTTTGCTACTGCTTATGTTATTGCCTACTTTCATTGATGCCGCCACCATAATTGTTCTACCTATTAATATGCGACCTTGGCCTCTTTAAAGTTTGTGGATTTTTCAAATGTTCTTTTTTTTTTTCCTCTCTCAGTTGCAGGGAAGTGTGTCATTCAAAGATTCATTTCCGTTTCTTGCTTACTGTTTGAAAATGTAATTTCATGAAATCTCAGCAGTAATAGCTTCAACGTTATTAAAGCACTCTTTCTTCCTGCCACTGAAGCCTGAAATCACCTCCATCATCCCTCGCTTCGGCTCTTAGGGAAAAGGTAGTGTTTAAAGCAGCGGTTGGTATATTCATGTCCCGATTTAATACTCATTGCCCTATTAAGAGTTAGATTAGAAACAGAGAATGTAAAGTAAGAGACAGAGAAAGAGACACAGAATGAGATGCTACCCTCGCTGAAATTTCTATCTATCCCAAACTAGCTCTCGGAGCAGAATCCACTCAGGAGTTAACAAACCGCCTGAACGCAAATATGGTTTTGCTTTTCATTTCTGGACGTTTTTCGACTCTAAAAAAAATACTGAGAAACAGAAAAACAAGCTGCGTATAAACGTTTTATCACATGAGCCTACATTACATGAACAAAAGGGCAGAGTCAGGGGTCTCACTTTTAGCTAACCAATGTTTAACATCTTTATTTTCAGCATATTTCTTGACACATTTGCTTTTCTCAAGACCCTTATTTGCTTTTCAAATCTTGTTGTCTCTGGAAAATTGTTCTGACATTTGAGTTAATAACATCACAACTCAACCATGTACCTTTAATCAAATGACACAGCATGATTATTACTTGAATCCCACCTTCCAGAAGTTTGTAAGAGTCCAAATAAAGAGAAGATTTTAACAGTGAGACATTCTGCTGCTGTTTTGCTCAGATGGCATCACCTGTTCATATTGTTCTTACGTGTTTACACCCAGGTACAGACAGCAGGTACATGAAGCTAACAGAGCAGCTGGATTCTCTTGCCGGAGCTTTTAAAAATGTTTGTTTATAGTTTTCATCGCTCCACGCTGCACCGCGTCTTTCCCACAGGAGCCCGCAACAAAAGATCTGACCCAAGTGGTCACAGCTGCATTTCCCCGAGATGGACTTCACACTTAAAATAGAAACTGTTCAACTTCTATCGGTTACGCAACATCAAAAAGCATTTTCCGTGTCCAAGCAGTGAACCTCAGTGTCTGTGTCATTACTGAGTGAAAGAGACTTGCTTTTAAAATCACCGACTGACCCGAACTGACTGACTGAGGAAGTGCGTAGATGACTGTTGAAACATGGGAAAATGTAAAGGACACAAATGTTGCCACGGCAACACATTTTCTCTGCTCAGCAGAGGAAAGAGAAAGGAAGATGAATAAAAGGTGAGAGGAAACAAACTTTATGTAAGTGATTTAGTGACTGCAGGACTACACCGACTGAAACTGCTTTCTTACTGGTTTTCGGACTCTATAGGAAAGACTCAGCATGCAGACTATTAGTCGCTAGGCAACCTGTGGCAGTGATTGGGGGGGGTTAAGCTCCAGTCTCTTTGGACCTTTGGATCTTCAGAATAACGGACCAAAGAGCTGCATCTTCAGTCTCCAGCTCCATGTTTCTCTCTGCTCCCCCTCTCGTCTCCGCTGCTCTCTAATACCTCTTTCATCCCTCCTTCTTCTCCCTCTGTACCAAGACACGGCTGTGCAATAAAAGCCCTGCAATTTAAGCTCTTCTGTGACTCAGACAAATGCTAAATGTTGAATACATTACAGTCTGCTCTGTAGGACGCTCACCGAGCAGCAATAACAGCAGAGGGAATAATGATAGGAAGCACCTTCACATGTTACACGTATGTGAACGCAGACGTGACGAGATGACACGATGCATTTTGATATGCAAAAAAAAAAAAAAAAAGTCAACAAGTCAGACTGCTGAAAACCTTCGGCTCGAGGGTTCACCTCAAGCTATCGAGCTAACACAAGCTACGCTGCTGAATTCTGTTGGCGCCGTTTCTCCTGAGTGTGTCTTTAGTTAGTCAACACAAGCACTATATATTATTATATTATTAAGAATAAGCCAAGAGGATAATGAGCAGAGGAGATGCTGGATACAAATACACACACACATCTACATACAGTGTACTGCATGTGTACAAGGGCACTACACAGGTGTGGGGGTGTTTGATTCACTCTGTGCATGCAGCTGTTTTTGCTTTCAACCTTAAATGTTGGATACTGCACAAGCTGCAATAAAAGAGACTTTGCACACACACACTTTGCACCCTTCTTTTGCTGCACCTAATCATCTCTAAGAGGTTTTTTTATTTTATTCTTATTTTTAATGAAAAATAGATACAGATAATAATACAGCTAATTTGAAACCCAAGAACACATTTTGCATGTGGGGAAACATGCCGAGCACCCTCCACATCCACATTAGCAGAGCGTTTATGGCGGTACACTCTATTCCGAGGCAGCGACGGGACTGAGAGCTCCCCCACGATCATTCAACACAATTTACAAACCCTCCATGGGGTGCTGGAATACACTAAAAATACGCAGGTGTTCTGCACACGGACTACTGGTGCTGTTATCAAATCATCAATCAAGCCGGAGGAATAACAGACGGCATGGACGAGGAAAAGAACAGGGAGTGGCGCCAGCCCGGCAGAACTCGCAGCTCTGCAAGACAAATTCAATCAAGGCTTAGGTAACAGGCTCCTCCTGCATCCCCATCAGCCCACTTAAATTTGAGATGCAGCCACTCGAATGGGTTTGAAGTCAGGACATTAGGAAGACATCTGGTGGGGGGGGGGGACACATCTGATGTTCCTCAAGAGCAGAAACAGGCAAATACAGCTAAAATTACCCTCAAACTCATCCTCCCGTCATCTACATGCACCGACAACAAAAGTAAAAGTTCAACTTATGTAACACTAAAAAACGGCACTTTGCAGAATCATGAGTCGTGGTAATTTCCAATTCCCTTCAGGGACACGGACTGGGATTCTCTCGGACCTGAACGGCAGCTGGTTAAGGTTGATCGATTGTATTAATGCACAGCTGGGTGTAATGAAGAACAACACGCACACACAGCCGAGTGTATTAATGCAAGGATGTGCGCGGTACCGGACTAACAGGGAGAGAGAGAGGACAAGAACATAGACGGATCACATGCACAACCAGAAACCTCCTGATGAAATCCTCCTTAATTCAGAAAAGAATGATCGAATATTAACTTATAGTGATTCAATTTAATATAATTTAGATTATTATGGATCAAAAACTGTGTGGCTCTACGTATGGCAATGATTGGTTCAGACAGAAACTATAGGATGGATTGCCATGAAAGACTTCTTCTAGCACAATCAGCAGGTCCAAGTTTTACCATGGCATTTTTGGTTATTAGAGAAACGTCACGACTTTCTATGAAATTTTGTACAGACATTTGTGACCCTCAGACAATGAATCCTAGCGAGTTAAACAAAAACATCTCTGCTGGTCAGAGATAGCCATGAAATAAAGAGTATGGAATGGAAATGTTCCCTTTTGTCTATAGTGTTACAGCGCAGTAAAATATCACCTTCACTCATACTTTAGTCCAGGAAAACATCCTCAGAAACTCATTTCCACAGTATTTACTGAATAACTGTTAGCTGTACAATAAAAAGACGTTACCTCTCAATATCTAATCAACTGTATGTTCTTACGAACTTTAAATTAACAGCTGAAAGTTCTATTTTACTGGGCTGGGAAAATACAGTATGTACATTGTACTCTCTCCAAAAAGCACCATTTACTTCTGCCCTCAAAACCTCCCTTTCATGCAAGTTTAAAAGCCTCATGAGATTATAATTTCTGTTACGACTGCATCCATTCCCCCCTCCGGGCAAACGCTATAGGTTGAACCTATTACATCACCCTGATTATATCATGCACAATGATTCAGCTGAAATGCTTATAGACTGCTAAACTGCAAAAATGAATGCACACAAAGGTCAAAGCTGTGGACTTAAGTGTTCTCCTTGTACCACATTCACCAGAGACATCAAAATGAATCAAATCTAAAAGAAAAAAAAAAAGAAACAACATAAAACTACCGTAGCAGTCTTAGAGGGCTGTGGCTTGTTTGTGTAACGGACACAGTTATGTGACTATAATTGCTGCCCTCCAGGTGCAGAAACATTTCAGTCACATTGTGACCTTGGCTTCTTGACACACATCACCTGTCTTTATGAACAGGTCACGACGTACAGACACACATGTTTGTGGACAGAGTGGATGGGAGGACGGGCATTTTCTTTCTTTTCTTTTTCAAAAATATTGCACAACACGAACCTGAAGGGATACAGAGAGATTTACCCGGAGTACGACAGGTCATCAAGTTTATCCTCTACTAGGCTCTAATTAACAACAACACACACCTCGCATAATTATAGTGGGAAAATATTGCACTACTGTCTAAACCCACTGTAATCCCCCCGTCAACTCCCCCCCTGGTGACTTCAGTATTTGTACCTTGGTTTTTCTAAAACCCTGCGGCCATGACAGTTCAGTAAGCTACAGAGCAGGGGTGAGCAAGATGATGGTAAATACTGTCTCTTTAATCTGCGTGTATTCAGATTTATGGTAGTATTAGATATTTATAGGATTTTGCAGCAGTAC